CACTTTTGGGATTTGTTCATTGGTCAGAAACGACCAGACGGGGTGTGTTTTGTGACGTAAGAGGTTAGAGACAGCGAGAATTGTTATGAAACAGATCAGAAATGTTCTCACAGACAGAGAGAGTTTTGTTTTGGCGCGTTTCAGACACAGGTGCTAAAACTTCTCTATTTACGTCTGAGAGGATTCTAAAAAACATGACAGTTCGTTCAACAACTTGTTTTTCGTTTGACTCCAACCTTGGAAACGCACACTTGCTCACTCAAAGGCAGAAATCAGAAAATGCATAATTATTCTGTAACAGCTTTGACATGAGAATAAAAATCATTACTCAGTTAATAAAATTGATTAGTTCACTGCAACATCTAAAATGGTTTGAACTAAGACACTTTGATTATCAATATTTGTAAAATAGTAATGATAATAAAAAGAGAGTGTTCTTTTCACTTGAATCTTCAAGAAAGAAAGTCTCAGGATGGGTGAACCTGTATTTCTGAGTTCAAATGAATGAAATGACAGTTCCTGTCCCACAAGGTTCTTAAGGTCAAGATTTTTGACCTTAGACTTAGTTTTTACATGGGCCTAGTCCACTACAGTTGTAACTGGGACCCTGTGTTTTTAATTTCATTCCACCACATGTGGTGCGAACGACAATAAAGAATCTCTGACTCTGACTTCTTCGATATGAATAACCACGAAACAAAACTGATTCCCACAACAACAGCATACTCCATAGTGCAAAAAATACAGTTTGCTGGTGCTAAGATGGTCTCCGGGACCCGCCCACTCCCCCGTCAACTCCTCAGAGACAGTCATGCCAAAATTATTCAAAACACCAAAGTTCATGCTCAATAATCCAGGTATAAAATCCATCAATGTTCAGTAAGGTCATCTGGATGGTTTTTTATAAACTGAGACGTTTCAAACTTTTAAGTTCTTTCTGAAAGTTTAAAGCTCGACTAGCAGTTTGTGAGATCTTTTGCCACAAATTGACTTAAAAGTTGTTGTTTTTTTTGCCAAGTTTCAAATACATCTATCATGTGATCAGCTAGTGCTCAGAGTGTCTTCTGAGGATATGCTCAGCTACTACCACACCAAACTTGAGCTCAATATCTGTAAACCTGACTGAGCCACGGTTGGATTTGTAAAAATGACTTGGTTGTGGCAGCCATCTTGAATATGTTTGACTTGAAATGCTAATCAAAAGGGAAAATGCATCCAACGATTTTCACAAAGTTTCACAAGTTAATTTGTGAACTTGACAAAGAAATGCACAAACACAAACTTTTATCCTCCTATTGCCTTTGGCTGTTTTTTTTTTTTTTTTTGGCTGCTCCCTTCTTCAGGGGTCATCACAGTGAACTAACTCGTTTGAAGACGGCAATTGTTTTCACGCCTGATACCCTTCCAGATACAACCACAGACCACCGAGCTACCACAGCCCTCTGTGTGGAGCAGAGAGCTACCATAGGGCACCCGGGGGAACAGCTGGTGGAGGTTAAGGGCCTTGCTCAAGGGCCCAATGTGGGGCAAATAAGGGTGGAGGCAGATGTGAGTGTTTCACCTTTCCCACCCACATTTTGATGCTGTCAATCTAACCGGTGACTTTCCGATCAAAGGCCCACCTTCTCTAATCTCTGCACCACTACTTTGGCTAAAATAATAACATTAAACTGAAATCTCTGATTATTTCTTACTTAAAATTAAGCCTTATTTAAGCTGAGTTTGCAAGAAAGGCTTTTTTAGATGACAGCGTTTTGAAAGGTTCTTATTATGTCCTGTATTTCTCTGCCTACACCATAATGCTGTGCCCTACAGGTAATGGACCTGTATTCCTGTCTCATTAAGCGGCAGGATCTGTGGCTTCAGTAGCATCTGTTTTGCTCTCTAACCTTTGACAGTCGGCTTATGGAGTAAGCTGGTGGGACATTGATGTTTACATTTCATGTTGAAACTCATTCAGTGTGTGGCTGGAGCGCATGAGAAGCTTGAAAGTAATTACTTCAAGCACAACATCGCAGTGCACTTTAGACCCTGGAAGTCTGGAAGATAGAAATAGCCACACCTTAAAATTAAAATAACAAAACACACGCTGAGCACCTTTATGCACTGAAGTTCACGGGTTTAATAATAAAAATCCTCCCAGCTCTACCAGCTCCCATGTGTTCAGCTGTTCGTTGTGAGCCTTTCTACTGTCGCAGGTCCAGAGGTTTGTTTAACGTTATGTTAGAAGATTTAATTTGACCTAGCCGAGATCTGACTGGGCTGTTCCTGCTGTGTTTATTTTTGCTACAGCAAGTCAAGCAAATGCTACCAAATGATCTGTGAACTTATGTGGAGGTGAGACTAAACATCAGCCCAAGAAGAGTCGGCTCCTCCGGTCAGTCCACAGCAGTCAGCCTGCACCAGAAATAAAAAGGTGGCATTCTGTTAAAGTCAGCGCTGCCTTAAAAAGAGGAAACAGCTGGGAGAGAGAGGTGTGAAGGAGTTTTATAATGTCTAAAAACAAGTGGTATAAGAAAGCACCGGCCAAAAAGTCACCCCTGAATTCTTTTCCCAAACTTTTCTGCTGCTTTTTGCACCTTGAATACGAAGTCTCACATGAACTGCAGGTAAACAACCCACATGTGACCTCGTGGCCTGTAGAGGTGGGTTCACTGCGACTGCAAAAGAGCAAACGATCAGTGCAGACACTAAACTTTCTACTCAGTTAATTATAAAAACATCTCTGCCACCACAGATCAGACGTTTTTATGAACTTTAAACGGCTCCTTTTTCTTCTGCTTGAGCTACTAAACTTACCTTGAATTGAATGACTGAAATGTTTCTTATAATATGATTGAACATTTCACTTGGAAGCAAACCAGTCATTTCACATATTACCAAGAATAAAGTTCTGTCAATACGCAGGTATTTATGAGTTCTTACCAATCAAATGTTTTTAGCTAAAAGAGACTTGAATACAGAAATAATTAAAGTGAAGCGATACTCCCACACCCCGTTCAACCTGCAGCAGAACCTTGTTGCAGCGTTGTTGGTTTCTTTGAATTCACTAATCCTTCTGTGCATTTGCTTTTCAGATGAGTGAAGTCATGTTTTCATGTTTGTCATCAGTGGAAGACAAATTAATGTTTATGGAAAATTTATATTGACTTGTCAAACCTCATTTGAATAGTGCATTCCTCTTAAAGTGCTTTCCAACAGAGACACATACAAAAATACAGCTTGAAGATACATAATGCAGACTGCTGCCACGCACACACACACACACACACACACACACACACACACACACACACACAC